AAGCAGAAGCAGAAGCAGAAGCAGAAGCAGAAGCAGAAGCAGAAGCAGAAGCAGAAGCAGAAGCAGAAGCAGAAGCAGAGCAGGAAGCAGGAAATGACGTGACACGACAAGACAAGACAAGACACGACGCTCTACAACGTCCTAATGCCATCCAAAGACCCGAGTACTCAAAGGACTCGACGACAAGGAAAAGAGCAAAGACAAGCGCACCAACCCAGCTTGACTTACCCGCGCTGAGAAGCGGCGATGAAATCGAGATGATGCGTTCGGCCGGTCCTGTTCAACCCGTGTAGGTATCAATGTCAGCAGCGGAACGTGACATTCATCGATGTTACCGGAGGATACCGAAGCTGAAGGGAATGATCCCCGTTCGGGCTGGTAGCTGTAGCTGCCACTGTCGAGGTCAACGTACCACGTCGTGTAAATGTACGCGTCGGGATGGAAGATGGACTTTAGATTCTCCCATTCACAGGCGTCTCTGCTCGGGTTTTGGTCAGGCGGTTAGTTAACCACGGTCAAATCGATTGCAGCCAGCCAGCCAGGGCCGGCGCGGCCCATCAACGACACAGTGTGCATACCTGTAGAGAGGCCATCCCTCGGCCAATTCGCGGAGCTTGTACCTCTCGAGGACGAGATGGTCGGGCCCGTTGTTGCGGATTGCTTGCTCGGGGCGGGAGCCCTCTGGGAGGGAATGCAGGTCGACCATGTTGGCGGTGGACTCTACTGTAGCGTGAAGGGAGGCAGAGTGAATGCGTGCCCCCCGTGCTCGATGGGATCCTCGGACGTTATTGCTAGAGTACGAAGTCAGAAAGACGGTCTTCGTATTTACCGCAAAAAGAGCAGAGTTCGTCCCTCCGTACAAACGGGTAATTGGGACGACACCATACGCAATGATGACAACAGAAGCAGATGAAGATGAGCGAGGCTCTGAGCCCCTCCGCAATTGCGAAGATCTCGGTCCGAGCACAGGAGAACCGTGGAGGGCGAGCATCAGCATCGGCACCAACATCGGCATCTGAGCGTCATGGCTTCTCAAGTCAGTCGTTCTGATTCCATTTTTCTAGTCTTTTGCGGCGACTGAAGAGACTGCTCTGTTCCGGCCTATGTTGCACAGAACGGTACAGGACATTCGCTCTTTTTGTACATAGTAATGCAATCAGAACCCCTCGCTCGAAAGTGACCCAAAAACACCCGTCAAATCTTCAAACCAGATCTGGAGATTTGTACCCGTGCAAGTGTCCACCAAGCAGAACCTCACGCTCTATTGCCAACCGGTGCATTCGTCAATCCATTCGGTCGGGGAACAGGGGATGAATGGGATATCTGCCCTCTTGGCCTTCTTCTCCGACCTCTTCACCTCGACGTCCCGCTTCTTGACAGGGGCGGCGGCCACATCTCGCTTGACGACAGGCTCGGGCGCGGGCCATCCGGTGCACTCGTCAATCCATTCCGTGGCGGAGCAGAAGATGATGGGTTTGGGAGACCGCTTCTTCAAGTCGTCCTTGACGGCGCCGGGGACGGCGGCACCCCCATCGGGGTTGGTTAGGGCGTAGCCGAAGCCCATGAGGGTGTTCCAGGTATCGGCAGTGGATTTGTCCTTAGTTCCCAGGGATCGGATCTTGGCTTGGGATTCGCGGCAGAGAGCCACTGCTTCCTGGTTCGCGCCACAGACAGTCGAGAGTTGGTCGCAGATGCGGTTGGTAATGATATCTGGACCTAATATTAGCTATGCCTATTCCAGGCAGATGGATGACACGTACTGGGGTTAGAAGCCTCTTGCTGGCCACGAGCACACAGTGGGTCCGAGGGCAAGAAAGTAAAGTCCATTGACGGCCGTCCACCAAGTCCACCTTCAAACTTCATGGTTGGAAGGCAAAGGCCAAAGTCTGGGTCGTCCTTGATCACCGACTCCTTGCCGTAGATAACAGCTGCATTGGCCGAGCCAACGGCCACCATCAAGGCGACAGCAGTGGACTTGACGTGCATTTTGAATCTCCTGAGAGGCCGAAAGGAAGCAAAGAATGTAGTTGGTTTTTGTGTTTGGCGAAGAAAGGAAGGGACGATGTCAAAAGCCGACCAGCGGTAAAGAGCGAGAAGATGGAAAACAGAACGACGACGACGAAGGCGACGACGAAAGGAGTGTCTGAATGATTGAGAAAGAGAATGCACTGCCAAGGACACGTCTTGGAAAGTTTCTTATAACTGATGGAGAGCCGTTGAAGCGGATCGAGGGCCTCCGGTTTGGCGGGTGGGAACGTGAGGCAGTGCGTGTCGGAGGTCGTGTTTCAGGGGCTGCCCCAAGACCTTTCGGCGTCTGCGGCACAAGCTTCAAACGCACCTTGATTTGAACTGAGATCATTCAATTTACCATGGAAGAGGCTCGCGGCCGTCGTCAGCACTGTCTCTGATGATGCTGTTCATGCTTGCCTGCGCGTGGTTAGACTTGGAGAACTGAATCCTAGGAAAATGCTGCCGAGGCTTGAACGACGAGTGACTGGTCTCAGCATGCCATGAAGGTGTATATAATTGGGCAATATCATGAAGTATGTTCGCATGCAAGTCGAGTCCAGGTGCTTGTTATTGTGCAGTGACTCGACATGAGGCGTGGCTGTGATTTGTGATGATGCATTGCCCGTAGCTACAGGGCACGCCGGAAAAGGTTGTGACGACAGACAGGTCCCATGGCAAAGGAACTGCGACAACGATGCGCTTCTTCAGGGCACGACCCTGTGCCGTAATTGCTCTTCCAAGTTGAGTCGATCAAGTTTGTGATGAGCACATGGTGAAGCAGGCAGCGTCGCAGCCTCGAAAAGGAGCAGAAGGAGTTGATCCCAAGAGGCTTAGCGTGAAGCGCGAAGTTGGCGGCGCGTCCCTTTCAACGACGTGTTGGCGCGTGTCACGTGACTAGTCACGTGACAGGGATTTGGCAGAGTACGTGGTGACACCGCCAGGCATCTAACTGTTCGCCCCACAAGATAATGATGAATGACCAACCGCAACTGACAGTAATACTTCTGCACTCGGTCATGCGTAGCTTCTATTGGTAGCCTTTCGTGTTGATGGCAGCCTCGTACAGTAAGGCATGGTCACCGGACGAGTGTCTGTGAGAAGGATCTCCCTTTTCTGGATTATCCTCACGTCTGCGCATCCGTCATCACAAACATACTGGGTCGCCCGTACGATGCGAGAAACATGATGCCTGCAGGAGCAAGAATCTCTGGCGAAGACATCTTGTGAGAAAGCGGGTGAAGAAGAGGACAGACACCTTCAAAGGATCTGCAATCACGACGTTTGGCGGAATTATCATTTGCCTTTGATGGGTTCTCTCTGGTCTGTTTCCGGCCAGAAGGAGTACCGCGGACACAGGACTCGGATTGCATGGTCGACCCATCCGGATCGGCTTCGGTAAAGTGCTGCCAAGTTGTCACCAATTCGAGTCAATTTGCTCGCCGTGTCGTTCGACTGGCAGCGCCAATACTGCTCGCAGCTATTGGCCTTAAGCGCAGCAGGGCCCCATTTTCCGGGAGACATACGGAGTACTTCATGCTGGATATGGTGAGGACTTGTCATGAGAGGCGAAGTGCTCCCGCCGACAAGCTTGCGACGCAATCGGCTCGCACGGAGAAGAACGTATGCCATCGACCTTACCCTCGCCCGGGTGGGAGGACGACTCGAGCAGGATCGGCCGTCACGACGACAGCTTGCCACATGTACTCCGTACCGCAGGGTACTTCCCCCCGTTGATCTTATTTCCCGTTTAAAGACTCGATTCACACCTGGTAGAATCCCATTCTTGGTTGTCTCCAGAGCCTAAGTCCTTGACGCCGCCCATGTCGCTGCCAGTGCTTTCTCTACCCAATCGCCCAAGAAAAAGAGACCGTACTCAGCGAGCGTCGACTCCGAAATGGTCTTTTCGCGACACTGACTCATCTGTCGGCAACCTCGTCATTCGTGGCAATGTCCATATCCGTGCAAACTTGCCCTATCTGCCGTGAAGCTTTCCAATGTGCCATCCATGCCTATCGTTTCAATTCATGATCGCGTATCTCGTTCTGCTCGACCTTTGCCTGTCCCTCACGGATCGTCTCTGGCGCTACAGCAGCGTAGGGATCCTCTCCCACCGAAGCTGCCAAATCTCGTCTTTCCGTAGCTTCTCCCTTCTCCTCACCGGTGCTGCTGTCCATGTCGGCGTCCTCCCGGGTCTTCTCTCCATCCATGACCTCCGTTTCCGCTTCGGATTCTGCTTCCTCGGACACTGTGTCCGCGTTTCCCTTCACGGACCCTACCTTCGTACCCTGATACATACCACCAAAGACCGAGGGAGACTTCTTCCTTGCCACCTTTGGACTGGGCTCCTGGACCTCAACGACTACCGGTCCCGTCTCCTTCTCAGCGTATTTCTCGATGAACGCCTCCTTTAGGACTTCGTAGATGAATTGGTACTGCAACTCGTTCATGACCATCATCATACGTTGTTCACGTAATGTGTTGACCGTCTCCCAGATGACGTCTTCTTCGTCTTTGGGCTCGGGTGTGCTGGCTTTGGGAGGTCCGCTTGCACCCCATGTCCCGTTGACGGTGGTGCTTGTTTGCGCTGGGTTCGGCAGGGTGGGTGTGGCTGATTGCGATGGGTCACATTCAACTAATCGGCCTGCTGCAAGCTCTTGCAGGAGGAAGTCTAAGGCTATCCAAGTGCCTGTTCGACCCACTCCAGCGGAGCAATGCACGATCCGAGGAGCATCGCCAGCCACAGCTTTGGATACCTTTGTCAGTTCAAGGAGAGCCATCCGGTCCTCGGCTTCGGGTTTAGCAAAGTCGGGCCAGCCGCCGAAGTAGTAGTGATATATGGTCTTTGACTCATTGTCGATGGTCAACCGTAGCTTCCGCACATCGCAGCCGATCTTGGCGTCATAGTGCGAAGACAAGAGGGTGACTGAGCCAGCTGGATCGTGTTCTTGGGACTTGTCGTCCTCGTCTGCGGCATCCGACGTTTGTGACGCTTCAGAATCTGCACAAAGACTATCAGCATCGGCGCTACCGGTAGGAGAGTCCAAGAAAGGGTCACCATCATCCACAGGTCCAGGCTCTCCATCCTCGTCACCACCTTCTTGAGCGGGCAATATCATGGTTGGGTTCTCCATGCTGACCGGGTAGTACTGGGCGCATTTCTCCTTGTTTCCCTCGACATGCTGCGTAAGCATGATGACGACACCGACGTCGCCCGGAGTCTCTTGCATGACCATCTGCCAAAAGTGAGAGAATTGTCCTTCTTTTGGGCCTTGGGTAGCAATGTATCTGTATTCGTTCTGGACGACTAAAGACGACGAGGACTGGCGCGCTGATATGGGGGTAGATGTGCCGCCCGGTGTGTTCTTGACCGTGCGGCTCTTCAGCACAATGGGAGACGCATTCACGTAGTCAGAGCCCCCTATCGGTTTCTTCAATCTCACCCTTGACGCATCCCAGGGTTGAACATTTCCATATCTGTTGCGGTTAAACACGGTCTTTGAGCGATCTACCCGAAAAGGAGACGTGTACGGGTTTTGAAAGCCGTGCTGAAGTCGAAATCGCTGCTTCCATTCGAGTTCCTGGAAAGCCAACGAAATTTCTGCACCGATCGTCAGCCATTCGACGTCGCCATGCGTCTGGGACTAAGTTGCCTCGAGTGAAAACCTACTTGCTTTGGTCTTGTTGAGATACGGCGGAATCCTCACGTTAACCCGGTCTGCTGAGTCATCTGGCCCGCCAAGGGGTCCGTTGGATGGTGCCTGTCCAGAGGAAGTCGGCCTGGAAGGGCTGAGCGGCAATTCTTGGGATCGTTGCCTCTTGACCGCAGCTTGTGGGGGAGTAAGTGTCAGCGACTGCGGCATGATGTCTGTGATTTCGGCAATGGTCGCGGCATCGGAATGAGATGAGCCAGCCCGACTCACAGTCGTTGGAAGAGGCGGTAAAGATGAAGAAGTGGTAGGTCTGATGGTGAGGTTTGGAGTGGGCTTGGTCCTCTTGCCCGACGTGTGGATATGTAGCCTCTGGAGAATTGATGGCCTCTTAGGGGGCGTTGCGTTGGAAGACTCCCGAGGAGATGAATCCTGGGGAGCGGCGCCGGCTTTGTCAGAAAACAGCCTTGAGACTGTCGTTGTGACTCCGTCCTGATAGTATCGGGAAGTCTTGATAATGTTTTGACTGTTCCGAAGAGAGATTGAGGCCAAGCAATATGTGGTGGAGCGGGACGGTCCAATCTGGTTACGAGGGTGAAGGCGAAGACGAGGGTGAGGATGCAGTCTGAGGCGCGAGTAAGTTGGTGAAGGCCGCGCCTGACGTGACTTTCCAGGCTGCGCAATAAAGCCTCGAGCGCCTCCTGCGAAGTTGGACCGGTCTTCGGAATCGAAATCTTCAGCGGCCGAGCACTATACAATCCTGAAGCGAAGATCAGAGAGACTCCAGATGTCGATCGACGTGTGCCGGTTTCACGAAGCGCCGGAGTGATTGAAACGTCCCGGGCCCGATCACATGAAAGACGTCGTTGTGGTAGTGAATATAAGGTGCCTCGTCCTCGATGATGAAGACGTCTATGGATATCCAGAAGTGTATTCCGCTTGAGCGACGGTGCATGCTTCCAATCAAGAAGATATTCAGAGAAACTGCATGAGCTGAATGGCTTGCTCGAGAGAAACCGCTGACCTCATCCTGCAGTGCGCCTGGCGGAGGCAACCTGAGTCGTAAAACCGTGGTAAGATACAAGACCTTTTCCGCCCATTGGTGTCGTTCTAGGGCGGTACGCTGTAACAGGATTTCAAATTACGTCTCTAATAAACGTCTCGGCGACCGTTCGAACATCGCAGCCATCACCACACAGTTTCGATTCTCTGGCTGCGAATATCCATCTACCATCGGTTATAGCAGGGTCGGATACTGGCGCACGCATTATCTTCCCATCTGACCTGTGGTTTCGATTCGACATCAACCAATCTGCAGCATGAGTTGGTGGTGGTTATTAGAGGTTTGCCTCCCACTCGACTCACTTCCACTAATGATGCGATAGTCTGCGACTAACACTACGAACAGAAGCGCCTCGTAGATACGGTATGCTCCCTGCCACGATACGATTACTCTCTTTTCGACTTGATCCGACAGTCTAACAGACCGCTCCCTTCCCAGCTCCTCCGCAGCCCAGCCTTCCATCGCGGCGTCCAGCGAGTCCACAAGAAAGTCCATGAATTACAACATGGCAAGCCCCCCGAATACTACGGCGGCACGCATATCGACCCACAAGAAGCCGCCCAAGGCGGTGCAAAGAACTTCTTCAAACTGTTCTGGGAAGAGTTAAAAACAGGACACAAGCCAGAACCGCCACCACCGAAGAGATAGCAGCGAGTTGCTGGAATGCGAAGTGGCTTCTTTGATGGTTTGACTGTATGATCTATATTCAACGTGAACGTGTGAATTCGAGCGCAGGCGTTGGAGGCGTATGCTACAATACATGCTTGCGGAGATATGGTGGCGGCGTTGCCATTTTCCAAGCTGCACAGAAGTTGAGCGCGGTGAAGTGATGAGGAGCCAGCCTGTCTTGCCGCAAGAGCCACAAGAAGACGGTGTATGAACCACACTCTATCTTGATTCTCTGCGTCAGGCTCGCTTACTGCTGCCACACAAGGCAGCGACTGAGTTGGTGGTCAGGTCACGGTAAGAAGGACTTGAAGAAAGGAGCACCATTTCACACCTCTCCCATACTCCTAGTCTGGCACATCTGAAACCCCAGATATCATTCACCCGGATATCGATTGGGTTGGCTCGTTCTTTATGTCCCGTGAGAGCCTTGACCCTCATTCCATCCGAAGAGCATCTTGCTTCCCACATCTCACACTGTGTTTCCTCTGTTGCCAGAAACATAGATCAATGTGGAACGGCAGACATGAAAACCTTTAAGAGAATATCGCCACACTCTTGGCTGTCTCGGAAACTAGTTGGACTGGGGAATTCAAGGATCTCCAATCTGCCATAACTCTGCGCATGTCTCTCCCTCACAAGATATCACCTACAACACCAGTTGTTCGTAAGTGGTTCAAAGAATATTCAGATCCCAACTGTCAAGGCTCTGAAAGGGAAACGTGGTATCTACCTGAAAGAGCCATGGACGGGCGCGGTAGGTCTAATCGGCGACGGCGTTTGACTCTTCTCATGTCGTCCCCGAGAGTCTCGAGGTTGTACAACATCTGCAGTGGTGTGATATTGACGGGAGAACCAGTGATTTACCAAGGCTGCTGCCCAAGCAATGCCTTCTCTCAACGGTAGAGATCTGCAGCAGCCTCGAACACCGATCTCCAAGTGGCCCGACGTCGCAGATCTCCTGTGCCGTTCGATTTGTCGATCACGGATTCGTTAACATCAATTTCGTAGCCTCCATCACACGACCAAGTCCGCGGGGGCGGTGAGCATTCTCGTCCAGCTTCAAGGTGCCTCGCCGAATCGTGTACGTACCCGCTGTCATATGCACGTCAAAGAATCCCGGGGACGGCACTAAAGGAGATGCAGATGTCCGGCTGAGCAGCATAAGGCCAACGACCTGTTTGAAACCCGTGGGGAATCACAAACATCCATTGTTATGCGCAATTGTGATGCAGTGGGGACGAAAAGGGATCGAGGGACACACGCTCTCCCAAAGAAGACCGACCTTTACCATGATTGGGGAAGAGGCCGGCATTCTGTGCATCTCTTGGCTCTTTTCAAGTCTGCCTCTGTGAGCGCGAGTGAAATGTGCAAGAGGCGCAAATGAGGCACGCCATCAGAGAACATGCTTGGTTACTCTCAAATGGGAGGTAGATTGTGGATTCTGTCGCTTGCAAGCATTGCTTGTGCTATTGTTTGTCCGTCAGCAAACTCGGGGTTCCCCAAAGGAACAGAATCGGTTTGTTTGTCAATGTGCGGTTGGTGTCAAGGTATCCATGCCTTGCCGTGTAACATTCGAAGCCAATCAGTACCAGAGGCACGGACATGTCAGAAGTAGAGCCAACTCTGAAGATCCCCGTGTTGGAAACTGGCCCCATTGAGTTAGTACGCACCACCTGTTACTGTAGCATGTTCTGCTGTATTGTTCATGACGACGGCATATCAAGTCCCGCCGAGTTTCACGTTTGTAAAAACATCAGTGAGACAATAGTATGTTCTTCTATGTCCGGCTGTAGTGGGATCGGAGAGGTAGACGCCATCTGCCGAAAGAGCTAGAGGCCCAGGCCATGTGCATAAAGTCGAAGTCGAGGGAATCGGGTCCGGTTGCAAAGGATCTGTTGGATCTGTTAGTCGTCTTACAACGGGGGCGAGATCAGATACCCTCACATCAAATCAGATCATTCGACTTCTCCACCCGAAAAAGGCAATGGGGTCAGGGTACTCGACAGGTCCCCTACACAAGAAGGCTCGGCGATTGATGGGCGAATGGCACCAATCTTGTTGTTGAGCAAGTCAGTCCAGATCTCTTTGCTAGCTAGCCATCTTGTGGCACGGAGACTCTGCCATGGGCAATAGGATGTCTGAGTGCTCCGATCTGTCGTACTTCGTACTTTGCCGACCAACCTGTGCGGGAGAACAAACAAATTTGCCATCCAGAAAAGGTCGGCAAACCGACAACGGCATATTCCGGACCATCCATTTGTGAGGCGAATGCGAATACAAGCGCAGCAGGTGCCCGAGCGGTGCCTGGATGAGGTCCAGACCATCCAGGTATGTCGTGATTGCAATGCAAAGCTCCTAGTGACGCGAGTCTGAAGCACCAGTGGTGGCCTTTTTGTGACAAGCAACGCCGGGGTCTCAGCGACCCAACCATGGCGGCCGGGTGGGGGAGCTGAAAGAGAAGGATGTGCGAGGAAACTGCAACACGAATGTGCGGAACCATTGGCCAGCGGAGGTTCGCACGGTTCGTAACCCAAGTTTGCTGCCTTTCCATATGTGTCCGGAGTTAGAGAGCTTCAACAACGAATCAGTTGTGTGACATCGCTTGCATGCCAGAACCGCCGAGCGTTGAGGCCAAGGACGAGGACCCTGCGGCCTTCAGGGGAGACTAAGAATGTGGCTGGGCGCTAAAACATGCACCAGATCATGATCGTTGATCGATGATCGCTGATCGGGGAAGCAGCATCACCTAAGTGCCCAGTACGGAGTAGATCCAGCAACCTGACCATCCACTCACGCCACTGTGGCCTATCCGTCCTGACATTGTTTGACAGGCGGACAGGTGAGGCCAAGCTGAAGTTACAGTGAAAATTTCTCCACCCGGGACATCTTCTTGTGGCGGCGCTCAGATTACGTTTGATAAAGGAAAGCCGACCTTACACACATCTTCCCATAGCCGAAGAATCAAGTGAAAGAGCTGGGATAAGTGAAATCGGTGATTGGTGGGGACTTATTAGAGCAGTCCGACCGCATCGCGGTATGGACGGTTGAGCTCGCTTGCCACGTGTTGGTGGCGCTTTCCCGTTGAAGCAGTGGGCGCCCTAACGACGACTGCAGATGGAGTACGGAGTACATCCGTACTGAATGGCTTTCCACACCATCCACTACCACCGCATGTGCGTTAATTTTCACCGAGGAAGAGCAATGACGGCCTTCACCGGCGAGCTGGAGCCTGACGCCACTCTTTAAAGTCCCAGAGCATTTTTCGCGATGTAGGCGATGGGTTATGCGGCGGATCGATCGGAGGGCAGTCATCCAATCCAGTGCCGTTGCTAAACGAGGAGTCCCAGGAATGGCCTCCAGCAATTCTGTCTGTGAAGAGATCGGATTTGGCCGATATCAATAGGACCCAGGCACCCACCAGGAGATTGTCCTGACTTGACGCAAGTATACATGCTACATTGACAAGATGCCTCGATGCACTGGGTTACCAAAAGACAGCCCGAATCATTGGCAAAAGGTGTCACTGCAGCTCACGTTCATCTCCTCAGACAGTCAGGCTCCGCCTTCTGTGAGGACTCCTCCTGATCCATCGTGCCCGAACCACGCTTCAGCTCTCACTTCCGCAGTATTGACTGTAGTGCCAGGGTGCATATTCGCAGCACTTACAAAGTGCGACAGGCAGCATCAGATGCATGATCTAGGCGAATAAAATTCATGACAGCTGTCAAACGGGATCCCTTCATCCTTCACGAGGTGGGGAGACAACCTGGTGGTATCGGAACAGAGTGGCATCCCACACCATAGCACCGAAGGTTCGAGTAGCGCTTTAACAATGTTCGTGTCGAGACGCAGCACTGATGGAACATCCTTGCCCAGGAAAACGAGTGTTCGGACATTCGAGGCACGACCGTCTTCCCGACGTGAACATACTGCAAAGTGCAATGGACGAAATGTCGAAAACTCGTCCCGTGGGAGCCGAACAGGGAGTACGTAGTCGGTCGTGTCCGCCGTCGCTGGGCCTCCAAGTCGGCAATGATTAGCCAGGACAAACACGAGCTGCTCTAAAGCGCCAGCGTGCTTTCTGAGATAAAGATAGCCGAGGTCGATAGCGGATCTGATGGTCCCTCGGTTGACGATGCTCAAGCTTCAGACGGGATAGTTCCATGACGGCGGATGGGTACCAGTAGCATCTTAAAGTTGAGGGCCGCTGGCCAGTCGATGTAGCGACGGCATGCTCCAAGGGCGCCGGGGTCTGTCGATCGGACGTGTCGATACGTCAGGGACGGGATATGGGGACGATGGCTGAAGTTTCAATAGGATAACAGTTTCCCGGCTGGACGATAAGCTTTGGCACCCACGTGTGGTACTCGGTGCTGGTGAACCTTCCATGATCTGGCAAGATTGGCCGAGTTGGCGTCGTCCGGCGTGCATAACGCCCCTTATCCCTGGGAAGACTTCTTGAGCAGGCTGGGTTACGCTGCTTTCCTAAAACCGGAGATGGGCTCACCTTTGAGGGTAGGAACGGGAGTGGGGAATTTCAAGGTTGTGAAAAGGCACATCAACAATTCGCATTGTGTTAAAGTCTAGACTTCAGAGACTCGCTAGCAGAGTATGTAAAACAGCCGATACCTGAGACTCACGCACGGGTTCCGAAACAGTCTCTTACGCCTGCGGCAGTTGGAGGCTCAAACAGTGGCCTCTTCACTGTGGTAGGAGTGTTTGACAGCGCTACTCCAGGAGCAACGAGTGACGGCTGCAGTAGTGGTCCTGTTACTCGAGCCTGGTGTACGTTAAGGTTCGCGTCATTACTGAACTTCGCGTTCACGCACTGCCGGGTGAAAGCCAAAGCTCCAGTGCTCAAGGACGGCTGCCCGGAAAAAGGGTTTGGCCTCTGCGGGTGAGGCGCCTCGCTTAAACTTTGGGAGCAGTGATGGTGGAGTTTGGTTTCCAGCTGCTGGGGTTGAGTCAGATATATGGAGATCGAACGTGAAGCGACCGCACCAATGTCCGGCGAGCCACAGGCGGGCCGACTTGGTGGGATCACGGAATGAACTCACGCAAAGACTCAGGTTCCATGACTGGGTAATCTTAACGGTGGGGAGGAAAAGTCGAAGGCTTAACACTGGAATGACCACGACATTGCGCAGTCACGGTCATGGGAACAGGCGGGTATGTGAGCCCATTCGGGGGTTCGTGGAACAAGTGGTGATGTGATGGAGATTTCCCATCGCAGGCGCCGCAGGATGCACGGCCGAGTTTCGGTGCTTCTCGCGAATCTCAAACCAGACCGAGCAGCTTGTTGGAGCAGCAGCAGGACTCCGGCAGCCTCACATGACAACTTAGCATATACTGGATACGGTGTAGAGACCATGTTTGTTGCGCAGGTAGTGCTTCAGACCCAGCTGGCGGGCAGGGACGCGGCCAGTGCTGTCTGTGTACTCGCACCGAGTCCTGGAGGCAACGCCCCAAACGGCTAAAGCTTGGGGCTGGATCGACGTACCGTCATTACCCAGAACACACTTGTTCTAGGCGTTGGCCCGATGCCCCAAAGCGGTGTCAATCACGTTCCAGGGTCCCTGCTCTTCGCCCCTTCGGGTGAGCAGTTTAGCCTTCACCACATCCTTACCAACTCCTCACGCCCCCCTGCCCTGGCTCTTGTTCCACTGTCCAACAACTCCATCAGCATGCCATCTCCGGCCTATCTGATCCAGTATCCCGGTCACCAGCATCATCGGCCGAGTCCATCGTGCAGCACGTCGTTTTGTGATCATCATCACCTAACCTGGCCCCCCTGTCCGTGCTCTACCAGTCAATCAGAAGACGTACGGATCCTTCCCTGTCGTGTGTCGTGACGAAAGTCAGACAGGTCAAGGCTTCTTCTCCGATCAACATCGATCTCTCAGTGCGCCAGCCCAACGACCGCCCACGACGGCGTGAGCCTGAATTATTGCTGGTGTGTCAGATCTCGAGTCTCGCGCGTGCCACTGACTGACCTTTTTGTTCGGGTCAGACTTTCAGCGTGACGGCGGGCTTGACAGATCCAGAAACCTCGCCCCAGCTCGCCCTCTAACTCGCCAGGTTCAAGCCCACCCGAAGCCCACTTTGGCTTGCACAGTCTGGCGCTGGGCACCCGGATTCAAGGTTTCCACCTGTCCTCGGGCCCATGCTTAGCGCGATCTCTCGATCTTTCTCCGCCCATCTCGCTCTCTAAGACTTGCTCATCTTCCAGACTTTCACCATTCTAACTATCCTCTCGACCCGAGGCCGCAACATCCCGCATTTTCGTTGTCCAAACATCGATTTTTCTCGCGCTTCGCCCACCTCACCTACTCACCTCCTCAATTCAGCCCATCGCACATATTCAAGCACATATCCAAAGTCGCTGTCACTTTCGATAGATTCGGCCAATCGAACCACCGGCTGCTTGGGGCCAGTGCAACTAAACAACGTGCGCTGGGATTGGGTTTGCGCAGTTGGAGATCCCACGCAAAAGACCAGGCAACGGGCTTCTTCACAAATCATTTTTGGGTCTGTTCCAGGTGCTCCAAGGGCGAAGGTACGGAGGGTTTAACAAGAGCTGTGACGTGCCTTCCCATATCGAATTCCTGGGTGCGACGGCAACGGATACTCAAGGCTTTGCGTCACACTGAGACGGACGGTCTTGCGACCCTGCAGCGACGTACTTTGGCAGACAACTTCACCTTTACCCTTGCTTCGGCCTCATGATCGATCACGTTCTCCTGACATCATCCACATAATCCCTGTTGAGGAGTGACCGGGTCCTTCATTACCATGACAATGGCGACAATAGACCCAGCCTCCAGACCCAGGTATGTTTCAATCCCGCGGATGCCCTAAAGACGCGCTGCTAACATGCTTCATAGGGACACTTTGCCCTCCATAAGTCACCTTGACCTGGAGAATATCAGATCTGAGAAGAACGACCTGTCCAGATTCTCAATTGGGAATGGGCTGAGCATATCTACGGGCTCTCTAGCTAGCCCAACGGCGTCGATGTACTCGGGCCCCCCTCCGCCCTACTCATGCGCGCCATCTACTGCGGGATCTGCCTCAGGCTTAACGGGCTATATCTCTCCGCCTGAGTCTACCACTAGACGCTCGACGCGCGACGAGAAGGAGTCCCCTGACTTTCGCAAATCACTACCCTCCATCCACGAAGCACTAGCAGACAAGCCGATGGCCTTTCCAACGACTTTGCCGGGTTCTTCCCAGCATCAGTCTTTGCCCACGCCTTCGACAGCCATGGCACCATCATTTTCGGAAGGGCCTAAAGGACCGGTGAACCCGTTCTCGCAATCCGCAGGCACACCCGTGTTGCGTGACGTATTTTCTGGACCACCAAAGCCTGTATCAAACCCGGCCGAGACGCAGACCTCGAAGCCGACTTTTCCTCCAGTGTCTGCACCTGATCCTCGCCAACCAGTGTCGCAGCACTTCGGCTACCCCGGCTCCCCACGCAATCAACCATCATCCGCCTTCCGCTCGTCATCGTTGAGCAATACTTCATTCACAACTCACCATGAGATTTCCCAGGCTAAGTCTCCTCGGACCTACGAACCTCCCAGGCAACAGATGCCGTACCCAGCATTTAATAATCCAGCCCCGACAAGCTACCCGCCCACCAGTGAGCCTTACCAGTTTTCAGCAGGCCCGAAACCTGAAGAACACCGAGCTTTTCCTAAGCCTGGGAATGAACCTCTGTATAGTGACACTGTCAAGAGGCATCTGGAGGTATTTGATGCCGAGATGGGACTTAATGAAGTGCGTTGACCCGCAGACCTGAAGGCGCTTTACAACTAACGTGTGCTAGATTAACGAGGCTTCTGCTCGTATCCTGGACTTTTCCGGCATTTGGACCCAGCGTTATCTCCAGGGAACTCGCTCCGGCCATTTTCACGAATCCCTCCCTGGGCTGCACGAAGTCGACGACATACTCCGTCAGTCTCACCGCATTTGGGAGAACCTGAGCTACATGCGAGAAGTAGTGATCGCCCAGCAAAACGCCTTGTCGGAACAGCGAGCTCGACTTGCTCGAAGTAATCAGGTGGAGGAGGAATATGCTGAGGAATACAAAGGCGGGGGCTACGTGGGTGGTGACGCGAAGAAACGCCGCGGGGTTAGTCCTTGGTTCATCTTCGGGAACACAGTAACTAACGCATCTTATAGAAAGCAGCACCACCTGGTCGATGTCACAGTTGTAACCGCGCCGAGACACCTGAATGGCGCAGAGGTCCCGACGGAGCACGCACGCTTTGCAACGCGTGCGGCCTGCATTATGCGAAATTGACTCGCAAAATGGGCGTCAACAAGGCCGCAGCTCTGACCGGATCGAATCTGCGGCCCAAGCATCTGGACGCGACGAGGCCCTAAAGAGCTTAGGCACCTGTGCAGCGATGAAAGCAACGAATTTACTTGCCGGTACATATGCAGTCTCTTTTAGGAGATGATGTTACGACCACACGCGAGTGAAATATTGGAAGAATACTCAACGACGAAACCTGCCGGAGTTCAGGGGCGGCATTGTCTATTTGCTTGTATTTTGTTGACGCAACAACGGGAGCGTTTTCGGAAACACACGTGTGCTCATATGAATGTACAGATGAGGCCTTGATCATTGGAAACGACCAAAAGCTTGGGGTAAAGATGGCGTCAATGCACATTCTGATGCCTTATTAGAGGCATGCTTGGAAGCATAAGCGGTATGTCGCTGGGACAACATGGGTTTGCTTCTGATACCCCGACCGATGCCTTGTTATAGGCATGCGGAGCATTTTGGCTCCTTGGAAATATGTCTTTTATGATATTTGTTATTACTTAGTGGTGGTTGGGGTGTGGGTGGCAGGAGGCTGGAGGGAGGAGAGTGGTGGCGACGGGAGACAGATGGTTGGTGATTCTTCGATTGGGTGTTTCGTGGGAAAAGTCGACGATGTTTAAATGCAGAGCAATTGAGCCGCTACATACAGAACCTGGTCGCTGTGGTGAATTTCCCTTCTCGACCCTCCAGCGACAGCGATACGCTCAACGTGCATAACGCAGCCTCACAAGCTGTTCGGCGGTCAACCGTTCACGTGCCCGGCACGATGTGCAGGTCCGACGTTCGGCGAGTCTGACAGATGGATCCGTGCCAGTGCCGTCCACAGTAAGATAATTGCAAGATCACAGAATGGATTAAGATTGGGATTCTAACTAGTCGAACCCGCATCCAAATCGTGAAGAGTGTCCAATAGACGCAGTTTCGCGCGGCCGCTAATGATGACACTGGTACAGTACCAACGGAATAGAGGCTGGAGGCAGCATCTTGAGTCAGCACCGTAAATTACCAGCAGAGTCACACCACCTCCTCCGTCGTGTCCGTATCGATCTCGTGAATCAGCCGACGATGTCTAGCGCGAAATGGTTCAAAACCGTAACTCGCGATCCGGGAAGGAATCAGATCATGTCCGGACGGACGAGCACATTCCTGTGCAGTCTCTCCAGGGTCGACAGCGAGTTACTGTTCTGGGCAGCATTCTACCAAAAGTCCGAACCCGTAGCCATTGAACAAGCCTCAGCAGCCGTTCCACCTGGAAATCCCTGCTAAGCCGCGACGGGATATCCATGGTGGAGGCAGTTCTACACAGTACATATGTACCTTCGTACGGTGTGCATCGCCAACGCAGGATCGGCGCTTGTTGGATGCAGGACTCCAAGAGCCAACCGTTGAGCTGCGACCTATCACCGGTGGCTAGAGGGCCGAGTTTCAGTCAGTTGACGCTCGGAGAACCACAGAGCTGGCACCAGAGACAGCTGGACGGCGGGCAAGCTCGGGGCCTCGAATAGATACACACTGACAGTTGGCCGCATCGAAGTTCCGGCGTGCAATCCACCGAGTCGGTCGGGCTCTGAAAGACAGGAGGATTGTTTCATAACACGGCAGGACGAAGCACAGAACCTAAGACAGTCTCCGTCCTGCTCTCGAGTATTGCCAGGGCACCAAGGAAGTGTTCCGTACCCGAACGTCTGGTGATCTGAGCTGAGCTGAGCTCCATCTGGACGCCAGCCTAGTCTCTTGCGGTGTCCGTGAGTCGGTGCACAGTGGGCGCTGACAATCTGAGCGGCAGCTACTCGTACGGAGCACGGTTTTACGATCTCCCCGGCGCAGGCCGCCATCTGCATCTGCCCGGCGAGATCCAAGATGCAGAGATGGGGCAGCACAAATCAGGACCATGGGTAGCACCCCAGGCAGGACTAAGACATGCCGATACGTCGTCGAACTCAGGCTGAAGTGTCTGTGGACTGAGGGTCATGTTGCGTCCTGGTGTACTCAGCACGACTCTGCGAGTCCTGTCTGCGTATTCGTACTGTGTCAATGTCCCGAAGCGCACCGATCTCACGATCACTACTCCGTTATTGACTCAGTGATGACTTCGCCTTCGAAGGAAAGGTCAGGACTGAAACACAAGACCCCCCACCTCGAGGGCACGAGCTTTGCACAGTCTGCAATACACTCTAGCTCGTCTGCACTTTCTCCTCATCCGCCCCACCGGCATATTACGTCAGAGTGGTTGGAAGGGCGTCCACCGTGCACAGTTGGCCGGGGTTGTGGAAAAGCAGCCCGGCCGCCCTGGCCAGTGCAAGCTTCTACAATTGCCTGCAGCGAGCGTAATCTTGTTCGGGGTCATTCATCCCACCATTTCTCTGTCTGTCGCTCTTTTGCTCACTCTCTCGTCCACCGCCTGCGGTCGAGACTTCACCTTCAACCCTCTGACGCTGGCTGAATCAGAGCTCTATCGGAGATCTGATACTCACTGCGAGATTGCCGGACCCGTCAGACTTGCATCCACCTTGGGCTCAGCACAGTTCTGGCCGCTAATTGGTGGCGGGCAGCTGTAAGACCGTTAGGTGTTGGGCGCCCTGTTCCCGTCGTTGCCGCAATACCCAGTCATGCACACCTTCGTCATTCGAGCGTCAGGAGGCACCAGAGGCGGTTTGTGGCGTGGCCTGGACCGATCGATGGATTCCTTCCAGACGCGACCAAAACCAAACTCTTACCAGCCCCCATCTCCCTCTCCCCACTCCTCCCTCCATCGCCGTCCTCGGCCAACCACAACCAGGCTCAGGGGGTTAGGTCGCAACGGTTGATCTCCATCTTAAGCGGCCCCTGTCGCATCTGCTGCTGGCTCTTTGAGTTTACGATTCCGCAGATGCAGCCCGTTCCAACGATGGCGGTTGGTTCCAAGTCACCGAACCCATATCGGAGCCGCAATATCCAAGGGGGTTGAGAACAGCTGTCTCTCTCATGCGCCTCTGCAGTGTGGTTTCCCTATTCCCCAAGTACGAGTCGAGTGTGTGAAGGGTCCCCTCCAACTCCCGGAATCCTATTGCTGTGTACTACGTCCATCCTTCTCTAAGAGCAAGAGCCAAACCGTAAACTGCCGCTTCACCACGCTAGTACCTGGGCTGCGCAGGCAAGATTGACAAGACCTCCTACGGCACCACATCCGGGACCTGGCTTTCTTTGGTCCAGGCAACTAGCGTCGCGCTTCGCCTTGTCACTTGACTGTTAATCCGGTTTACTTCTTGCGGTTGAACAGTGCATACAGTGTACTCCGTACAATACGGCACAAACGGAGCCCGTCAGCAACTTGGCTGCGGATCTCGAACGTCGAAGGCCTAGTGTTCGGGAGTGTGCCTTGGAGCAGGCGTCTCGACTCAGTACACAGGACACCGTGGTCGGAGACCTACAGTTCCGCTGAATACCCGCCTTTCGTGCTCTCAGCCGTACCCACAAAATACCTGTCGCGAATGCTCGTTTCTGGCTAAGCGTGATCGAGGATCGACCTCATCAAGTTGGCTCTTCGATTGGACTTGCTGCCCGCGCCCTGTGGCGTTTTACCCGAGATGAGGTCCATTCGAAGCGAGATGTGAACATCTCGAAGAGGACCAACAATCGTCGGTGGCCTTAAATGAAGCCGTCGATGTGCCCCAAGAATAGACGCGTCCCCACGTCGCCTTCAACGATGCGCGCTATGCGCCACACACACGGCGGTATGGCAACTTCTGCGCTCTCGACGGTCCTGTCTCTCCAGCATCGCTTGGGTCTGGTGACGGGATCTCTTCCGGGCCATGCGAGTTACTCCGTCCTGCTCGACGAGATACGGAAATCTTCCACAACTGTCAACGAGTCGACTCCATTAAGCGTAGTCCACGAATCGATCAACCCCGACCCTATACCGAAAACATGATAACACCACCCCCAGACGGCCAATCAGTCCAGAGACTCCACTACCCTCTCCTCAGACATGTCCGATTTCAGAGCCGTGCATCTCGCAAGAATCAAGAATACCCGGCCACGGCGTCATCATTGCAGCTGCCGGGCCAATGAACGATCAGTTCGATCAATTTGTCAGGAAGGGCTAATTATTGGCAGCAGCCTCACTCACGACCAGAGCTCAGCCGAGCCGACGAGCGTTCCAAGTCGAGGTTGTGAACCATGGACTGGGTTTCCGACCTTGTCGGCAGCAACAATAATACGTAGTCTTGACTGGGAGGCTCATGCCGAAGCCGCATCGGATGGACCTCGTGTGGACCAAGGCACGCCGTTGCTCGAAATGGGACAGAGCGCTATTTCACCAGTATTTACCACTCACGAAAATACTGGCACCCTCATACATCCATTGCGAACGTTGGCTCTCAGCCCTGACGGCGAGCCTACCGGTCATGGCTGTCGTTGCCAGGCTTGCTCACTTCTTGCTTGGTTAAGGAAGCGAAGCCGCTTATGGTACCAAGCGACGTCCGCTAAAGCTGCAGCGGAGCAACTTACTTCCCCTGGCTGACATGGCTAATCTGTACAGAGTGTCCAAGTCTTTCGCAATTGTGCTCACTCGAACGCAAGCGGTCAGCTGCGAGCTAGCAGTGACTTGGGGCTCTGATCGGCACAGCTATCCATGTCCAAGTCTCAGCCTCTGACAAAACTTAAAGCACTGATACTGAAACAGGAACTAATACGATCAGATCGACTGTCACAAGACTCACTAGGTGATGCTAAGCCCGTGCATACGGAGTATGCCTTCTGGCTAACCGACGTGCATTATTCTCCCAGCGGTTCACGTATCCCGTACATAACACGGAATGCAAATGAATTGATGCGACGAACCATTAGTGCGCTTGTATCAGGAGTTCAGGCCTGGCAGACCTCGGGGGTTCGCCAAATGTGATCAATGGCAAGGAGCGGCCCATTACGAATACATACTTCACCTGCTTGAACTCCTTACCCGCATCTTTATGCGATTCTCAGTCTAAGCGCGGAGGGGATCACTGCGTGTCGAGTCAAGTAATTGCCTCAGCGACACCAAGATTGGCGGAGTTGGGAAGGTTCGCCTGCAGTGACG